CTATGTCCACCCATCAGGACCTCGTGCCAGAACCTCATACGAGGACATCTAAGAGAATTTCAAAAGATCGTCAAGCAAAGACCTTCTAGATAGAGGACCTGAGAAAATTTTCATACACAAGATTTTCCTACTGAGCATCCGGAAGAACTTTCATACGAGCGCCAATGCAAAGCATCTTCAAGATCTTAATGCAAGGACCTCTTCAGAAGGATTCCTGCAGGATCCCCACAAGAACTTCCCACAAGAGCCTGTAGGAGATCGTGCAAGGATATGTAGGGGATTTCACAAGGACATCTTTAAGATGTTCTCACAAGGACCTGTACAAGATCTGACCGCATTTCACTAGGATCGCTGCAAGACCTTCTCCCAAGGGCCTGTACAAGAGCATGCACTGCAAGGTCCTCGTCGGGGCTTCCACCAGGATAACTACAAGATCTTCTCATAAGAACCTTTGCAAAACCATGGAAGGACACCTACAGGATCTCACACAGAACTCTTGGAGATCTTCTCACGCAGACCTGTGCAAGATCATGCCAGCGCCTCTGACAGCATTGCGCTAAGATTTCCACAAGACCTTTTCACAAGGACCCGTACAAGATCATGCACTGTAAGGACCTCGTAAGGGATTTCACCAGGATCTCTGCAAGATCTTCTCATAAGGACCTGTGCAAGATCATGTAAGGGACCTCTAGGGGGTGTCAGCAGGATCTTCACAAGAATTTCTCATAAGGACGTTTACAAGATGATGCAAGGACCTCTTACACTTTAAAGATTACGGGCCTCCAAGACTGCACCATGAAACTGTTGCAAGATTATTATTTAAGGACCTCGCCTAGAATTCATAAGATTCCTTTACTAGAATCTAAAAGATCACCTAAAATCTGCATCGCGCCGCAACGAGACCGATATGACACGCAGCACGCAGCACGCGCAAAGTGCTGAGAGAGTTGCACGCATGTCAAAATTCGCACCGCGCCCCAGCGAGAGTGATCTGACACGCACAAAGCCACGAGAGGGCTGCGTGAGCACATGTTAGATGCCGACGAAAAATGAGCATTGAAAATGACAAGAGCAATGTTTTACCAAGGTCTCAGCCACTTTTTTGTCGAAGTCTACAAAGTACTGCGCTTGCCATGGAAAAAAGCCTGAGGCACCCGAAGTGTTGCACCTGCCGCACGGAATCATCATGTCCAAAACCCAAAACCTAGACAGCCAGGAGTGCTATCCTTTGAGCATTTGGGCCAAGAATTTGCTTGGTTGTGCTGAAGGCTTATCCTTTGAGCCTTCATGCTGTGTCCATCAACTGAGCCATATAATCATGCAGCACCGCGCATTACATGCACGATCTAGCAGCACTGCTGATCAACCGGTTTAGAGAGAAGACGTGCTAATTTTGTGCCCACCAAAAGAGCCATTTTATCACGCTGCACCGTTCATGAAATGCACCCATCTTGCAGCACTGCTGATGGGCTAGTTTTGAAAAAAACGTGCTAATTGTGTGCACCTGCCTTGGCTGCTTGAACCGCTCGTATAATATAATTCTATATATATATACATATGTATATCATATTTGTTTTTTAGAAACACACACACACACGCGCGCACACACACACAACACCTAAACACTAAAACACTGCAAACTGCTTGGCCCAAGCAGTTGGTTGCTGGGAAAAGGGTGCATCAGAAATAAACTACGTGTTTTGATTCATTGCCAAATTGGTTTCCAACCAAACGTATATAACACCGGCTCATACTTTCACCATTTGTTTTGGGAACCCAAAGACGCCGCTAACATACAAATAAAAACCCGAATTTTGAGAACCCAAAGACCCACAACAATATATTGGGAAACCATTATCATCTGCAAATTGTTGAAATATCTTTGGTCCCTTACTTTTCAGGAAATGGAAAAATGGCATGGTAACATGCACCCTATGCATTATTTGACTTGTGTTGGTCTGGTGCCCACCGACAAAAACTATATAGTTCTTCTCGGTTTTTGCTGTTTGCAAACAACATTTACTTTGGCGCCCTAGATATCGTGAAATAGCTGGCTGATCGATGTTTATTCCCCGATCCAATGATAATATGAGTTGTTGAGTAATGCCCCATATGCTTCACAGCGCGTTTGGGTTTTTAATCTTCAATGTGCCGCAATTTGGTGAATTTGCCATTTCCAAATGGTAAGGAAACAAGAACCAACTGATCTGACTAATTTTTTGGTTGACGGTCATATTTGGATTTGCCATTTCCAAATGGTAAGGAAACAAGAACCAACTGATCTGACTAATTTTTTGGTTGACGGTCATATTTGGATTTGCCATTTCCAAATGGTAAGGAAACAAGAACCAACTGATCTGACTAATTTTTTGGTTGACGGTCATATTTGGATTTGCCATTTTTTGCCCATCCCCTTTTATACCCCGTGCCTCTTGCTGAACTAACTTCCCCCTCTATACACTTATCCCCCCCTGATCTCGCCTTCTACCCACCTTGGACTGTCCAGTGACTTCTTCCTATCTATTAAAAACCATTCATATTCCACTCCTCAGTCCCCGCTCTCACAAACGCCTTTTCCCCCTACAACCAATGGTAAGGAAACAAGAACCAACTGATCTGACTAATTTTTTGGTTGACGGTCATATTTGGGGATAGACATAAAGCGGAGGGAAACCCAGCTAGTGATTTAGTTGAGCATAAGCCACCTGTAAATATGCATATGTATATGTATATATGTAACAATGATTTACGTCCCATTTTTAAACAAAACCAAAACACACGTGGGGAAATACTCCATCAACATTCAGGTTGAAAAACTCGCTGTTCTTGCCGTCGACCAAGCACCAAAGCTGTGCTGCAAACCAGGTGATTGGATGATTGAAGGGAGATAGCACTAAATTAGATTGGAGGGATCTTCATCACACATATGATTGGGCATGACATGGCATGATCAAACCACCCATGACTGGGGTAAGTTCCATAGGTTGACACTAGACAGACCTTAGCCTTAGCCGGATGCGCATGCGCTCATCTCTTTTTCCTCATTCGTCGGGCTCCAAGTCAGGGGCGAAGGTGAAAAGCTGCAGCAATGCTCTGTAGCGTTCGAGGGTGACCTTTTCCATTGTCAATGGATGAGTCCTACTGGCTATGCTGCCAATTTGTTTCATCAGATCCTCATCCTGATAGCAGTGCTCATACCTGAGAATCACAGGTCTAAATTGGGAAAAAACATGTCAAATACTGTATTATTTTCCAGAGGGTGTTTGGAAAAAATAGGAAAGGTACCTGTATTCATCTAAGTTGCCGGGGATTGCGCGAGGTTTCATCAATGTAAAATGACAGCTCAAAGAAACTGTGGAACTTTGGAGTGATCTTATAGGTACACCGCCCATCAACCCTCTTGCGGTCATTCGATGTCAGTTTTTGGTACGGGCAATGGACACAACTTGTGTTTTCTCCTCTGGTGGGAAAAAAGGGCCATTCTTGTCCACAAGAAATTGGAACTTGGCAAACGCGTGCATGGTGTGAATACGAAGATGTCCTCCTTCAACATCATGATCGTTCTCTTTCAGAAACTCCGCACACCAGTACATCATGCTTTTGACTACTGCCGCTTTGAAAATGGATCCCAGTTCCGGCGGCATTGCCCATTTCTCTTTTCCAAACCGAAGGCATGAAAACCGATGTGAGCATGCTGTTGCATTGGGACCATGTTTGTGACACCAAGCTCTGTAGTGTCTATAGACATCTTTTGAGAGTAAGACGTCCATTTGTTTCAGGGTCAAAGCATAGTGTTTACATTCCAAATGATCACACACCAATGCAGCGATCAAGACACAAGCCACACCCTGATGAAGGGTATGAAGAAGGTCCTTAGTGTGAGAAACAAGGTCACTGGTACCTAACCCCACTATAGTATAAAACACAAAGATCCCTTTAGTTGATTTTTTTTCCATATTTGTTTGTGTGACTCCAATCCTCCGCAAATAGGTTGAGAAAATAAAACAATATACTTGATTGGAACCAAGATCCTCCAGGTTTCTATCTTTTGTCCATCCTTTCACATATCGCCAACTGCTTTGTTTGTTTCCCTGTAGAATCATGTATTCTTCATGCGTAAACCGATGACTCAGGCAATTGGCCGACAACCTGAAATCTCCAAAAGTAAAGTTCGGATCCCTGGATGCCAAGCAGTGGTCGCATATGTAAGTTGCATTGTAAAACCTTTTGGACTTGTGAATGATGTACTTGGCTTCCCAGTCACCCTTAAAGCCAGCAAAACACAGTGTCCAACCTCCACAAATTTTGTGACCTGCTCGGGTTTGTTCTGGTGACCCCGGATCAAAACATGTTCCATCGGGGCCATGCGTTGGGAATCTCCCTGTCATCAAAGTGTCCATGATGTAGCCAATAAGTTTGCCTACAGCATCATGACTCGCTTCCTTTATGATTCTGTTTTCCCGCAAGAGGATGATCACCAGCTTTGTTCTGATGGATGGACCTTTCCGACATGCACTGCTGAAAGAATACACCCATGCTTTCTGGGATTTGTAAACTTTGACACCATCAGCATGAAAAAAAACAGGAACAGTGGTTCGATGTTGGCTTGGCGATAATTCCAGCCGCTTGTAGAAGTCTAGGTGTGAACAGTGGTTCCAATACTCTTCAACTCTGTCACCGGCAGTATCCGGGTCATCTGCCACCCATTGTAGAAAATTGCCAGACTCCCACAGCCAGTGAAGAATTTCCCATGGCCAAAGAATGTTTGTTGGGCATTCCATGACTTCGACTTCATCCCCCTGGGTATTGGTAACCTTCAAAGGGATTTCCACTTGTCCTGGATGAACCGTGCATACATTTTGGCACCACCTGCCAGGGTTGGCTTTGGAAACATTTGGGATCATCCATATCATAAAAATACTTATGGTTTGTACTTTTTTTTATTGGGAAAAACAAAACATGATATGTATTGATATGTTGTTTTGTTCAAGTCGAGCCACTTTGAGAAAGACCTCTCTGGATGCCCTCCCTGGCTCCAACGTTTCATGAGATATGCCATGTTGCACCGAACTTGATCATGGTGTAGCTCAGTCGCATCCCGGCACCCATCAGCTGCGGATGTAGCCTAAGAAGCCACAGAACTAGCTTTTTTTTTTTTAATATATATATAAATATAAGTATATGTTGTTCTGACATATTCTAGTGGTAAGATTGAACTCAAACTTTTGAAAACCATTCGCAACTGTAGCTATGTACATGTGACATGAAATACTGAAGCTCAGTGACCCCTGAGCAAATCTTCCGTAAAATCCTCAAACTTGATCGTGATACTGCACCTAAGAAGGCGTCCGGATGTGCATAGAATCCAGCTAACAACTTGATTTTGGGATAGAATCTGACACAATTCAATGTTCAAACACTTCCCATGCAATCAATCTTTGTGGGATACAACTTTTAGATTTTCGGATAGAATCTAAGATACTTCAATGTTCAAACCTTTCCCAATCAATCTTGGTGGGATCCAACGACTAAGTTTTCTAAAACGACTCGGGCATAGCCCTATAACCCTTCCCAACCAACTTTTGGGATTTAACTCTTAAGTCTTCTGCTGATGAGGTGCCTTCAAAGATGTCACTGGCATTCACTGGAATTGCAGCAGGAGGAGATCTGGATCGGGATTGGCACCTGCGTGGGAGTTTCCCCAACAAAGGGATTTGTTTTTTCACTACAGATAATTAGTATTCATAAGTTGATTTGACTAACTTGACTCAACAGCATTCCTGTTTTGACTACAGCATCCACACCACAAAAAATAAAGTTGCTTTGACTCAATACTATTCCTGTTTTGACTCTGGTATCCAAGCATCGAACGCATATCCCTGCAGGTAAGCCCGGAGGGTTCCAAGATCTCATTTGAATGTGTTGCGTGTTGCAACAGGTGCCAGTATTGGCAAAACCCTGGATGCAGCTTGGGGAACCACAGAAATAAACGTTTGCATTTTTCATGAGATGACTAAACTTATAGCATACCCCTTTTGTGCATCACTTCAACCCCTTAATGGCTGAACTGACCAACATCGTGGCCCTACTCCAGCTATATAGGCATGTGCCACAACTTGAAATCACAAAAGTGTGAAACTAAGCATGGGCAGGGTCGGGAGCAGTTGTCGCTTCCTTTGCCGCCTCCTTCTCACTGCCAGCTGCTTCCCTATTTGACCTAGATCTAGATTTGGCAGGCTTCTCAGATGCTCTGATCAGTGCCTTCGCAAGATCCACTCTCTCCTTGGCATGCTTGGTGATGTCCTCCACCTGAAGCCCAGGCAAAGATAGGATACTTTCCAACTAGTACACTAACTACAGTACTGAAACATCGAATAAGTTTTTGAAGTGCCATGACCAAACAAAAACATCTTGAAACTCAAACACCTTTTGAAACCCCATCACCTCAGCAATGAGATCTGCGTAGTTTTTATTCTTGTTCTTACCTTTGCTGATGAGATTTTGGAGTGCATCAGCTTGGTGCCCAAGTTTCACTGCGCACGCTTTGAGCTGATCGATCAGATCAGAAGAGAGAGCCAGGGGCCGCAGCTTGAATGCATGGTCCCTTAGATGAGATTGCAGCGCTGAAACAATTTGGGTATATATGCACAACTTCTGTATTCTGACTGGCTCTTGGTCTTTGGTGACACATGTTGCAACTACCTGGCTTGATTGAACCCTTGTATCAACTTGAATGGCAAGCAGCCGACAGTTGTTGGCATCCTTCAGCACCCTCGCAAGCAGGCCCTGCGCTTCCGATATCGGTGTGTCAGGCACCACCACCTGCAACAAAAGGAACAACAGCCGATTAGGTAAAGTACATACAGACTGCAAGAGAACAAAATCACATACCCTGTTTCTGCCTTGGGAGGAGTAGTCTCTTTCTCCCCTTCCTTCTTATTCTTCTTACCCTTGCCGCCCTTTCCTGGTTTCTTTTCAGCATCCCCAGACGGAGCAGCAGTTCCAATTGCATTTGCAAGAGTCTTCATGCCAGTGGCACCAGAAAGCCCTTCGATAGAAAGATGCTGCTTTCCGTCCAAGCAGCCTCCAGCCTTACAAAGTGCAATGGCGGTATGGCAGATCCACTGTAAAACGTTTGGGTCATACACCTTTTGACATCCACAAGTTTGGATGTGCTACTGCAAAAATGAGTTGAGGGAGTGGTGTTCTATAGTTATAATTGCTTTCCTTTGAGCACCGGTTGAACGAAGTGCATGAAGACTGAAGATTCAAGACTTGAAATAAAACCAGCCTAGGAACTTCCACGAAAGCCTTGACACCATCAGCATCCAGTGATCCCTGCATCTCTATCTGGGTCACACGGCGTAGCTCTCGGATGTCATCCATGTTCAGCTCCACCATGACAAAGAAGAGTTTTTCATCTTCGTCCCCAGGGAATTCAGGATCCGGAATGGTCCTCAGAAGAACAGTTTGGGCATGCACCCGTCTAGTAATGGGACAGAAAAAAGTGATTCCAGATGGAAATCCAACATTATATATATATTTCATACTTGGGGGTGCAGTATTCCAATGGCACATGGATGTATAACATAGCTGCTGGGGTTGTATCCTAACCTCTGGGAATTTTATTGTCATATAAAACCATATTTATGATAATTTCAACTGCACCCCCAAGTATGTATTTATATCTCCCCAAACCAGATGTAAGTAATCAAAACTATCAACATACATATTTGAATGTTTATATATATATATACATGTGCATAGACCACAACGGGATGGATATGGACAGATAAGGTATATTCCCTTGTATATTGGCTCCCATCTCCCGAAAGTTCGGGGCTTCCAAGTTTCCATCTTGGTCATGTACTGATAAGTTTTTAAATATCCAATAATGCATCCATTACGCAAAGGAGATGGAAGCTGTTTGCTTGGTGGAGTTCGTTCGTTGGAAGGCCTGCTTTGTGGCTGGAAAGTCAACCTGGAGATGTGCGGTTCCCAACAAAAACCATTTCATTATGGGGCAAGCTTCAATCCAAGTTCGCGTTTGCGAGCCATGATCTTTGTAGCTTTTCGCTCTCCATGGTGCTTGATTAACCATTGGTCATTCCTGAATCCATAACGAATCTGGGTCCTTTGGGTTTCTTCCAATCGGGCCTCAAAACGGGCCTCCACCTGGGCGGTATCCCGATTGGTCTCGACATAGTCCTGGAACAGCTGGTGCCTGGTCTCCTGCGGGTTCAATTGAGATAGGGATACAAGGTGGTGCCCCCAAGATAGCGAAGTTGGTTTATAACTCTAATAATTAGGACTTATGGTAGATATATCTATAGTTAATGGGATTATAAACCAACTTATAACTTGGGGGGCACCACCTTGTACCATGTGGGAA